TGTGTAGGCCGTTGCAGCAGGTCTGTGGAACTTTGTCTTGACCTCCTTGAGCGAACTGCAGGCATGGCATGGCATCGATTTCCACCGTGCTACATTGGACAGCCTTTGGCGTTGGCTGTCTGCTCTCTGCAACGCAAATGAAGAGGACGGCGGAGATTCCAAATATGATGACAATGTTTGAGATGATTGCCTTCTTCATCATCATCATCATGTTGTTTGGATGGTACTTTGCTAGCAATATATATGTATGGGTTTTGAGGGAGAGAAGTTGTCTTTGTGAGTTTGATGGAGAATGAAAGAAGGGGATGGGGCTTATATATCCTACAAGTTTTGTCTTCTGTATATATCAACACATTTTAAGTAAAGAGCATTGCGTTAAGGTTCAGGATTACGTAAATGAGAACAAAAAATAGTTCCAATGCGGAAGAGTTTGAGAGATTAGTCCACGTGATAATAATGTGAAAGGTGGGCATCGTGTCCATGGACTATCAATCTAACTCTTGTATGTGTCCCATCAAAAAAACTAGGGCTGGTTTTTGTCCAGACTGTTTGGTTTTACCCAAAACCGGACCGTATTAATCCGGATCGGGATCGGACTAGGATCGGATAGCAAACAATCCAATCTCATATTCGGGCTTAGATTTGATGTAAAAAAACTGGATAAAGACCGGATAAGACACCCCTAACACCTAAGATCAAGATCAAATTGGGACCGGGCTGGGTCAAGACCTGACAATATCCAATCCAATCTTTGGTACTTATATTCCCGAAAATACCTGACTGGGACCGGATCAATTTGGTCCAATTCAACCGGACCGGACCGTATAGCCACCCCTAAAAAAAACTCTTGTATGTATAAAAATAAAATTTCCATAAAAAATTAATGGCCTTTTATAAGTGTTAGTAATTAGGGCAGAAGTTAGGTTTCTAATACTGTTTTGTTAGTATAATGATAATATATTAATTAAAACTTATAGAAATATTTGGTTTTCATTACTTTTTATTTAAATCGGTTGACCATAATTATAAAGAGTGGGACATGCTCTTCTCATTATAAAAAATTAGGGGCACATGCGTGTAGACCTATTTATAAATTTTAAAAAGTTTAAGTATCAAAATGTATGAGATAAAAATTTTGTACTAAATGTAATTTGCATATAGAACCACAAGTTTCATAAGCCATACAAATTTTTGGGATAAATTTTAAAAAGGTTGAGTATCAAAATGCATGTAGACCTACTTAATCTTAAATTTAGATACCAAACTGCAATTTGCATATAGAACCACAAGTTTCTTAAGGCATACAAGTTCTCTAAAGTAGACCAAAAACTTCATGCAACATGTTTATTAATAAAGATCACAAGTTCCCGTAAACATACAATAAAAAAGCTTCAATTTAGCGGCGGGAAATTTGTCGCAAAAGGTATAAATTTCGTCGGTAAGGTTTCTGCCACGAAACTTATGTTGCCAAAACTCTCTCTCATGCGTCTAGTATTCCTGGTCGCCTAAATTTTTTGCTAGAAAAATTAATGACTACTTCACCAAAGGTGGAGTCCGCCGCCAAAACATTGATGTGCACGCGACGATGTGAATCATCGTCGAACAAAAAGTATGTGCGACTTCCTTCAAAAAAAAAAAAAAAAACAAAAAGTATGTGCGACGAACTTTGTCATCACAATAAATGAATGATTTGGCGACGAATGTGGTTGTCATTGTACAGTTGATTTCACAATGACTTTTGGCGACGACCTTGCAATACATGACATACAGCTAAAGGTGACAATTTCAATTCAATCCACCAATCCAATCCATCAATCCATTAAAAATATCGAATTAATCCAATTCAATTGGATTGGTGGATTCATGGATTGGATCCATGGATCTTTGGCAAATTACAGTTTAGTACTTATGTTTTTAATTTTTTACATTTTGGTACCTAAACGTTAATTTTTTGTACAAAAAAATCATCGGAAAATTATATTGTGGTACCTAAAATTTTTCATTATGACATTTTAGTACCTAAACTTTTTACATTTTACATATTGGTCCTTGGTTGAGGATGTCATTTGGATTCATGAATAATCCACCAATCCACTTGATCCAATCAATGAATCCACCAATCCATTAGATTCAATCCAATACACTCATCCACCAACGCAATTCATTTGCCACCTCTACATGCAACGACGAAAAGTGGTAGCGGAGCTTTTGCAATAGACAATGTTCGTCGCGGAAGGTGGTTCCAGCGACAAATGTCCTTTTTGGATATTAGATGGTTCTTTCTTCTTTTGATTTATATATAGTACCAAAATAGAACATCTTTTTATGAAAATAAAATTGAGGACATCGACAATAGAAAAGCTGGAATTTTTTCAGAAGTACTTTCAAAAAGTAAAGAACATTTAAAAATACCTCACATTTCCAAACAAATTCCAAAAATACCACTCTTTTTCATAAACCGACATCCCACTCAGCGGTTTCAACGAAAACCGCAGGTAGGTCGGGGATTTTGTTCCTAGCGGCTGAAAACTACGTCGGGTCGGGGCGGTTTGTTTGACCGGGAGTGGTACTGGCGATTAACATGCAGACTGCTGCCCCCCTTGCGGTTTGTGTGAAATTTTGTTTTGATCAATGCCTAACCTAGGCCGAAACTTCAAACGAACGTAACTTTAGCTTGGGTATCCGATCGTAGCGAATTGTATTATGCATAACTTTATAAGGACTACATCTTTATCGTAGCCATAATTTCGGAATGTACGTAGATTTATGAAAAGTAAAGGCAAAGTTATTTCTAAAACCCTTTATATCCAAAAATAATTCTTGTTTTATAAATTTCTTTCTAGTCAAAGTTGTAGTTCCTAAAAATTATGCGCAATCAATAAAAATTTCGATACAATTGAATACCCGAGTGCAAAATTACGTTCGTTTGAAGTTTCGGCCTAGGTTAGTAGTTGATAAAAAAAATTGTGTAAACCACTGGGGGCAAGCAGTTTTCAGCTTAACCGCGCTACCCCGCAGTTTATCGGAACGAATGAAACCGCGGGTGGGGCGGCAGTTTTCACCTTAACTGTGGGATGAGTGGCAGTTTATAAGAAAGGGCGGTATTTTTGGAATTTTTAAAAAATGTGATATTTTATAAAAAAAATCAGTAACATATATACTACAATGTTATTACTATGTGGTACAAACATCAAATACGTCTATAATAGTTTATAAAAAAAAAGAAAATACTTGTACTATCGAATGAGTACTTCTACACATAACTATTCACATCATCAATCATCTCTTCTTGAAGTCGTCCAAGCCTCAAGTACCGAATACCTCGTTGGAGACCCGCATTGAAATAAATCTCATCAGAACCAATCAAATTCGAAGATCCAGAACTCTTAATAAAACTAGTACTTGTTGTCCACTCTTCGCACCGAGATTGTTTCATATGCAAAAGTCATTTGTAAAGTAAATTATCATCAAAATAAAGTAAACCAAAACTTTGGCATAGTCGAATTATAAAATGCAAATGCAGCGTAATCCAAGTGTTGACATACCAATTTATAGTTAAACTACTAAGATTATCCATCAGATAACAAAATTATCAAAATAATTAACAACCAACATTATATATACATTCTAATTCTAGATAGTACCTTTTCAAATTGTGTGTTAAACTACTAAGATTAAAAACAAATAGCATAATAAGCTAATTTTTCCTTCTTTCACTTGACACATAATTACCAATTTCAATAAAATGTACTAATTATAATATTGCATGGTCCCAGTAATTGAAATTACAATTGAAGTTGATCGAGGAAGTAACTGTTGTGAATTTAATCAATTTATAGAATAGGTCGAAATTACACGTTTGGCCACTCAAATTATACAAATCTCTCACGTTTGCCACCCAAATTACTTTTCTTTCTTATTCGCCACTAACTTTACGAATCGTTTCACCTTAGCCACCCGCCGTCCAATTCCGTTAAAATGATCCTACGTGGCAGTCAACCAAAGCTTTGACCATTAGTTTGATGACGTGGCAATTAAAAAAATATTAAACTATTTTTCAAACTAAATAATAATATAAACTATATTAATTCCTAATACATAGCTAGAGCGCAGAGATTAAATCTTCTTTGGCCCTGTTTTTATTTTTTCGAAGAGAAATTAAGGCCTCTTCAATTTTGAACACTTGTGGACTCTTCAGCTTGCCGAGAAGCGCTTCCTCCACCCGGTCAATTACAGTTTTGTCAGTCTTAGATGAGGACGAAGTGTCTCGTGAGGAATATCAGTTTGGTCAGGTCGGTAATTGAAGCAGGAGCGACGAGTTGAACGGATCTGGCTCATTAGTGGAACAAGGAGATCTATAGCGGCCTCCCCAATTCCCAATTCCTACTCTCCAAGGCTTCTCTACTTACCCCATTTGTCCCCCAACCTCGAAAAGAATGACGGAAAGGTCGTTCCTACCCCAGACCATAATCTCAAAACTGCCTTTCGTCGCATCCCAAATCGGGGAGCTGAAGCAGATCTTCCACACAGCCGACAACTCGACTATGGAGGGCATAATTGTGAACTCGCTGACCGAGCTTGAGCGCTCTTTGAGCCCCGGCGAGACGAAGCGGTGCGTGGGGTCGGCGGAGGACATGATTGACTTCGCCACGTCGGTCTTGGGACCAGAGCGTGGAATTGGCAACAAACTAAAAATGATTTTATTTTTTATATTATTTTTTAATTTGAATATATTATTTTTTTCATTGCCACGTTATCAAACTAACGGTCAAAGGCTTTGGTTGACTGCCACATAGGATGAATTTAACAGAATTGGACGGTCGTTGGCTACGGTGAAACGATTCGTAAAGTTAGTGGCTAATAAGAAAAAAATGTAATTCAGGTGGAAAACGTGAAAGATTTTTATAATTTGAATGACTAAACGTGTAGATTGAAAAAAAAAATCCCAGGGCATGCTCTCAACTTCGTGCGAAGTGGCCCTGGTAACCGCCATCGTGCGCATGCGCCGTCCCGGGCGTTCCGCCGTCGTGCGGTGCCGGAGCCCGAATTCTGGGGCTCTGGAGTGTATAAATTCCCCTCGATTCGAGTCTGGGATCATCATCTGTCCCTTTGATCTCGTAGATTGTGGTTTGCTTGCTGTTTCCGCAGATCCTTTCTCGGCAGTCATGGCGGTTGTAGTCCATTTCAACGATGACGACATGGCGGCTGGAGTGGCGCGCGTCGATTTGACACTGCTTGGGCTGGTGATTGGAACTTCGCCGCCGCTGCACACGTTGAGGACGGTCCTAACTAGGGTTTGGCGGTTTGAAGGGGATCTGACGATTTCTCAATTAGACGGCGGGCTGCTGCAGTTCGTCTTCTCCCTACAATCGGATCTACAGGCGGCGGTTTCGGCTGGCCCTTGGATCTTTGACAAGTATATGCTGACTTTACAGCCCTGGGCTACGCCATCGGAGGAAGTGATTGGTAACCTTCGTTGGGCTCCCCTTGCTGTTCAGATCTGGGGGGTTCCCTTCGATTGCTTCACCAACAAAATGGCTCTCCGGTTGGGTTCTGCATTGGGAGAAACCGCCACTCCTACTCTGCACCGGTCTGATGTTTCGGGCGGGCTTTACGTCAGGGCAGAGCCTGTGCTGAATCTGTTGGAACCATTGCCGGACTCGATCTCCGCTGGACATATCGACCCACAGAAAGGTACCTTCTCTGCTAAAATCAAGTTCGAACTAGTTTCTCACTTCTGCTTCCTTTGTGGTGTGATTGGGCATGTGAAGGATGTCTGTCCTCGTAAGGAAGAACTTGGAGCCTCGCCGGCGAAGTATGGCAAATTCACCATGGCTTCTGAGTCGGGCCCCCAAGTTACTGAAGCCATGCTTGCAAGGCGGCGCCGCCGGTACACCTGGATCCGGGCAAACTTCTGCAACCAGGGCAAGCCACGTCGGGGAGGGGGTACTTGGGAAGATTCCCGGCGTCCGGGGACGGGGATCATGGGGTCTCGATTTCAGTCCCTATCGCTCCTCCACCCCTCGACTGATTCTCATGCGCAGCAAGTCAGAGATGTTCACTCCACAGATGGGACCAGCAAGCTTCCCCTCGTGGATTCTTCCCCTGTTTCTCCGCAACCGGCAGCAAAGCGGCTCCGATTTGGGTCGGCTTCGGACACTTCCTCTGCTCCAGTATTTGACAAGGTGGCGGGCGCCAGCCTCAACTGGCCCCCAGCGGATCCATGAGTTTCATGGTGTGGAACTGTCGAGGGATGGGCTCCCCCTTGACAGTTCCCTCACTTGGTGGAGCAATTGCACGGTTTCGTCCGTCACTGGTATTTCTTAGTGAAACAAAGAGAGACGATGAGTTTGTGTTGTCGAAGTTTTCGAGTCTTGGGTTTCGATCTGTTCGCTGTTTTAGTGCGTCGAATGGTAGTGGAGGTTTAGCTGTAGCTTGGTTGGATCAAGTAGTATGTACAGTTCATCACTTATCCTCATTTCTCTGTTTTGTTGAGGTCAGTTTGCCGCTAGTAGGGCGGCTGGTCATCTTCTTTGTACATATGTCATGTGATGCTTCTTGTCGCCAACAGCAGTTTAATGAGATTCTTGATTTCGTTTCGTCGGTGTCCCCTCCTGTCTTTGTGGTTGGCGATTTTAACTGTTTATTGTCTTCTTCAGAAAAGTTAGGAGGGAATCCCCCCTCGTTTGGTGCGTTGGATCAACTCAATGCTTTCATCACCCATGCTAACTTGTTAGACTTAGGTTTTCAGGGGTCACCATTCACATGGACCAACCGGAGATCGGGTAGTGCACATATTATGGAGAGACTAGACCGATGCCTTAGTGACACGACGGTTCTTGTAGAGTGGCCTGATCTTAAGGTAATTCATCTTACTGATATGGGATCTGACCATAGAATGTTACTTGTGCAGCTAGTCAAACAAGGTCCTCTTCCCCATACGCGGTTTCAATTTGACAGCCGCTGGATCACTAACCCCGAAGCATTGGAAGTAATCAAAGCTGCATGGGTGAAGCAGGTTCGGGGCACCATGCAATTTAAAGTCTATTCCTTACTTAAACTGGTAAGGCATGATTTGGTGGAGTGGGCGCATTTAGGGACGTCTAATTCAGCTAGGAAAATAAGAGAGCTGAAGGATGCGTTTGAGGAGGCCAGAGGGGAGGTTACCGTGGATTGGGCCGTGATTCAGAACCTCGAGTTAGAGCTGGCAGCGGCGTATGTTCAGGAGGAACTTTACTGGCGTCAGAAGTATCGTGTTGGGTGGCTGAGAGAGGGGGACTCCAACACGAATTTGTTTCATCGTGCTGTGATGCAACGTCGACGTTACAACCGGCTCTCGGGATTAAAAGACGACACGGGGGTGATTCACCACGACGAGGAGGGCATGGGGAGCATTGCTGTACCCTATTTCCAGGTATTATTCACTTCTTCGAATGTGGATTCGGCTCAGTTTGTCGCAGACTTAGGCTTGCAGGTGAAGGTTACGAGGCAGATGAATGCTATGCTAGTTGCACAAGTTTCTGATACGGAGATCAAGGAAGCCGTATTTCGCATTGGGGCGTCTCAAGCACCCGGTTCCGATGGCTTCACCGCCGGATTTTTTCACGCTCATTGGAACATTGTTGGACCGGACATTAGTGCTGCGGTTCATACCTTTTTCCGGACTGGTAGGCTGCTGCACAATTTTAATCATACTCTGATTTCACTGCTGCCAAAGGTAACTAATGCTGATTCGATGCGCCAACTTAGACCGATTGGCTTATGTCAGATTTTTTATAAAATTTTGGCTAAGATCATGGCGACTAGGTTAGGGAGTATCCTTCCTTCCATTGTTAGTTCTTCTCAGAATGGGTTTGTTAGAGGTAGGTTGATCTCCGACAATATTTTAATCGGGCAAGAAGTTATGCAATTCTTGAAAACTAAAGTGCAGGGTCGTGAGAAATGGATGGCTGTTAAACTAGACATGGAGAAGGCATACGACCGCGTTGAATGGCCTTTCCTCTTACAGATCATGGACAGCCTAGGATTCTGCTCGGAGTGGCTGCGTTGGATACAGACTTGCATCTCCACGGTTAGCTTCTCAGTCCTGATCAATGGGCGACCGCATGGATACTTCAAACCCCAACGGGGACTACGCCAAGGTGATCCGTTATCCCCCCTTCTCTATGCCTTATACACTGAAGCTTTATCTGCTAAATTAGGGGCGGAGATTAGTGCCTCTCGGCTGCATGGCCTTCGTGTTCATCGACATGCTCCGGTAACATCTCATTTGTTGTTCGCGGATGATACTTACCTCTTTTTGCGGGCATCTATTCCGGAGTGTACTGCTCTGTTGTCGCTTTTGAATTCCCTAGGAGAAGTTAGTGGGCAGAAAGTCAATCTACTTAAATCTTCTTTGTGTGTGAGTGCTAATGTAAGTGATCAGGAGAGGTCTGCTCTGTGTGCTTGCTTAGGTATTGCGGAATCCACCATTCAGGAAAAATATTTAGGGCTGCCTGTCCACATTCAACGTTCGAAAACCCAGACTTTTCGGTTCGTTGAGGAAGGTCTTGCTGCTAGGGTTCGTTCTTGGAAATCCAAAGCCATGTCCTTAACCGCGAAAGAAGTAGTGATTAAGTCTATAGGATCTGCTTCTTCGATTTATACTATGTCTGTGTTTCGGCTCCCCTCTTTCACTTGTCGCAGGTTGAATGGGCAGCTATCTCGGTTCTGGTGGGCTGATCAGGATAAAGAAAAGGGTATTCACTGGCTCTCCTGGCAAGAAGTTTGTTACAGCAAATTTGAAGGGGGTCTTGGGTTCCGAGACTTTGAGAGGTTTAACATAGCTCTTTTGGCGAAGCAAGCCTGGAGGGTACTGCAGAGTCCGGCTTCCACATTAGCCCACTTGTATCGGGCCCGTTATCACCCAAATTCTTCCTTCCTAGAGGCAAAGGTTGGATCAAGACCCTCTTGGGCTTGGCAAGGATTGTTAGCAGGGCGGGATCTTCTTGTACGCGGACTTCGGTGGCGAGTTGGTGACGGTGTTCGCATCCGCGTATTAATAGATAAGTGGCTTCCCTCCGACCCTCCCTCTTCTCCTACTCTTCTTGCGGGTATCAATTGGTGCCCATTACTTGTTGCTGATCTGATTTGTCCAGTGTCTAGGGCTTGGAATCGGGCTTTGCTCGTTTCACTGTTCACCAGCGAGTCTGTAGAGTTGATTCTCTCCACCCCCCTTTCTTTTCGGCTGCTGCCGGACCGTTTGATTTGGCATTACACGGCTAATGGCGAGTACTCGGTTAAGTCGGGGTACCATGTATTGTCTAATGAACTGAAAGTTGTTCACCCACCATCTCCTCTTCCTTTTGACAGCAGGTTTTGGAAGCTTCTTTGGAGTCTCCCGTTGCCACCCAAATTAAAGTTCTTCTGTTGGAGGATGGTGCGCGGATTCCTCCCAGTTCATGCTGTCCTTCTGTTCAAAAGATTGGTCGCGGATGCAACATGCCCGGTTTGCTCCCAGGGATCAGAATCTATTATGCACTCCTTTTTTTCTTGCAGAGTTGCCAAAGAATTATGGGAGCTGGCTGGATGGGGAAACTTGCGCAGGTCACTTGAGAGTCTCCCTCATACTGATTGTTGGAATCAGTTATTCTTTTCCCGGCATCTCTCTAAAGTGCACATTGCAGACATTGTCTTCATTTGTTGGCGAGTGTGGAAGGCAAGATGTTGGTCCATTCATAAACATATACAATACCGTGGGTGTGCTCTACTTCGTCAGTACAGGGCTCAGGCTGCTGAATGGGTTCAAGCCACTGCTCCTTTGACGTTACGTCAAGAGGCGTCGAGCTCGCGAGCTGCCTCAGCTCTCCGTCAAACACAGCCTATTGTTTCGGCCCGTGATGGAGCTTGTCCCGCCGGGGGAGTGCTTGTTCGATTTGATGGATCTTGGAAAAACGGAGTAGGCGGTGGAATCGGGTTTGCCGGATTCTCTCCTACAGGCGGCCTGCTCTTCGCCATTGGCAAGTATTACCCAGGTATAACAGACCCTTTTATAATGGAAGTTCTAGCTTTAAGAGATGCAATTGATTGGTGTTTAACGCATGGATTCTTCGTTGTGAATTTTTGTGGGGATTCCCAACTGCTGACGCGTCGAGTTCGGGAGAGGGATGTCGCGCATGGTGCTGGAGGGGTGCTGCTCGAGGAGATCTGTCTGGCGGCTGATGGTTTCTCTAATTTTTCTTGTACTTTTACACCTAGGTTGTACAATAGGGCTGCCCATTTAGTGGCTTCTAATGCCCTCTCATCGGCAGTTCGGCTAGCGACCGACTGCCGCGTTTGGCTTTTAAATATCTTGTAATATCTATTTTCTCCATATCTATGACAAAAAAAAAAAAAGAATGACTAAACGTGTAATTTAGCCAGTCATTTACTAAGCACGTTAGGACTGCTAATGAAACTGTTAAATTAAGTAATTGTCAGATGAAAATATTTTGACAAGAGATCACTATATCATTAGTGGGTGAACTTCTTTAATTCTTCTCTCCTATTGTGAAACTCTGAAACAACGAAAAAGATGACAGTTAGCTAAAGAGTTAATAGCATTGTGTACCCCTTTACTTTGCTAAATTAACAAACGCATCCCTCTGCTAAACTTTTGCACAAACGTACTCTTCTAATATCAAATCATAACAAGTTTACCTTTCTATCTAATTATTCGTTAAGTGATCATTAAATGGGCTGCAAAATTACCCAATTATCCCTCATTTAGACGGCTCTGGATAGGGTGCATAACCTTAGGGTGTTTAACGTGAGTAAACAAATATGGACCCTTCATTTTAAGTGGGCTGCAGATCTAAAGATTGTGAATTAAAGGCATTTTATTTCCCCTATTTTTTTTGATCGGATCATATCCTCTTCATTCTCATAACTTAGAGAGATTAATTTGGTCTTTGATTTAGGTGAGGTGCCGTAGTAGAATAATCCTATAATATCCAACTGAATGACTATCTTGTTGATGATCTTGTCTGCCATCATCCAACAAGTATCACAATGCATAAACATAATACTACTAGATTTTGGTACATAAATTGTATAGCCAGGGATGATATTTCAAATGCATAAAATTTTAAAATTACAAGAGGTTTGAGTTTGAAGAGTTTTTTTGATACAGGTTGATTAAAATATAGTTGGTAGGGAAGCAGTGAATTGTTTGTGATGTTTCAGGGTACATATATAACATGAATCAAAGGCAAAATAAGCATTAATTCTTGTAACCATATCAAACGTGTCGTTCGATCATGATCATGTCGTTCTAATAGGAAATAGTGAACTGCTTGATGATGCAAATCAAAATTGAAGAATGATGTCAAAATGATGAGTGGTGCAAAAAATGGCGTATGGAAAAAGAAATTTAAAGCAGATTCCACTTACTTGTCAATTTGAGATTCTTTGAGAGAGGAAAGGGGACAGTAACATTGCACAGCCTAGGAATTTTCTGCAAATCCTCGTCTTTGATGGTTGGGAATTTCTGAAAAGCAGTAGCCAAGCACTTGCAAGCGGCGGTCTTGTCGTCTACCGTCGTTGCGCTATCGGCGAGGTTGTGTAGGCTGTTGCAGCAGGTCTATGGAACTTTGTCCTGACCTCCTTGAGCGAACTGCAGGCATCAGGCATGGCATGACATCAGGTGTTGGTTGTCTGCTCTCTGCAACGCAAATGAAGAGGAAGGCGGAGATTCCAAGTATGATGACAATGTTGGAGATGATTGCCTTCTTCATCATCATTATGTTGTTGTTTTGATGGTACGTTGCTAGCAATATATATGTATGGGTTTTGGGGAAAGAAGTTGTCTTTGTGAGTTTGATGGAGAATAAATGAAGGAGGATGGGGCTTTTATATAGTCCCACAAGCTTTGTCTTCTAAATAAGTAATCACAAAAAATAGTTCCAATGCGGAAGAGTTCGAGAGATTAGTCCACGTCATAATAATGTGAAAGGTGGGCATCGTGTTCTTGTGGAGCATCAATCTAACTCTTGTATGTAGTATGACAACGAAAAATTGGATTTCAGCTACCAACTACAATTTATTCTAAATTATACATTTAATAATCACAAATAAAAAAGTAAGAACACCTAACAATCACAAACAAGTTTTTTTCGGATGTTTTCTTGCGACGGTTTAAAACCGGCACTAAATATCATCGTCTGGCACGATCCAACGGTTTTGGCATCCGGAACCTAGTCGAGCCTTCCATCGCCTTCGGCCCACAGATTTTTGTGACGGTTTTTTGGTGATCGTTTCAAATCGACACTAAATATAAATTCTTTCTTTTTTATTATTGTCGATCAAGGTTTTCCAACCGGTTTATAACATTGCGACGGTTTACTGAGTTTATATGGTTCGATCGATGGTACAACCGATTTGTGTCAATTCATGTCAGTTAAATAAAATATGAAAAACTATTAACCTCAAATGATTCTAAGCATATATAAAAATATATTTGAGCCAATACTTTGATTTGTTGGGAACCGATGGTGTTTTATATGAGGAGTAAATTGTCTCATCCTATGTCTTATCTGCTGGCCGCGGAGGGGAAGTAATGAACAATTGTTCTTTAAATGCTCATTGACCACCCAATTGTCTTCTCTTATAAGTCTAAATGGGAACACATTAGGGTGATTATTCAAAATTGAGTAATCATGGTGGCTACTAAAATCTACTCTCTTCATTATCTTTATTTCACACTAATTTTAATTTGATGGTGAATATTAGATTAAGAGTAATTTTGAGAATAAAAAAATACCACACTAGATTTTCATCCCATAAAAAATTAATTTCAATATATTATAAACTTAAACCCTACTCCAACCTCATTATCTATCGCTGTTAACACCTCTCTTGTTGGTGGTTCCCTTCCTTTATTGGCGGCCACCCTCGGCCAACCTCACACTGCCAGCAGCCACACTCCACTCTTTTTTTTTTTTTTTTTTTGCATTGGTAGTGCTATTTTCGCAGTGGTAGTGTTTTTTTCTACATTGGTATTATTTTTTCCGCATTGGTATTGATTATCATGTAAGCGTATTGTTTTTTTTAAAAATGGTAGTGTTCTTTTTCTGTAGTGGTAGTGTTTTTCACATTGGAATTATTTTTTCTCTTTTTTTTTGCATTGGTATTGATTATCATGTATTGATATTGATTAATCTGCAATGGTAGTGTTTTTATTTCTCTAATGGTATTGTTGTTTTGTGCATTGGTAGTGTTTTTTTTATGGATTTGTATTGTTTTATTGTTGCAGCGTATTATTTCGGCTGAACGAAAACAAGGATAAGATTGAGAAAAAGAAGGAATAGAGATTTGGGTGGAGAGTGTGGAAGTGAGAGAAAGAGAGAGAAAATTTTAATTAATATATTTTAGTAAAATCCTAAAATTTAATTTTTAAATAAATAATTAATATTTTTTTTGTCATACCCAGTTTTCTTTTAGTAACCACGGTGATTACTGTTTTTTAGTAATCACCGTAACCTGTCCGGTCTAAATGTCTTCATTTTACTCGGCCTCGACTGTGAATTTCAGTCTCTGGTGACAATATGTTATGCTTAGTGAGCAGTGAGCACCCCAATCCATGTTCTCCAATGTGTATGCGTATGGTGGAGGATCTAGAAGTCTCATGATAAGGTGATCTTTTATTTAACATTAATCAACCACATGTCCGGTCTCTAGCTCGCCAGTGTTTTTTTCCAAGTTCTTAAAGTGTCCTCTTTGCTCCCTCCTTCTCCAGCCCCTCCTCCTCGCTTCTCGTAGGCCCGCCCTGCCTTTAGGTTTCCTCCTCCTAATGATTTCTTAAGTATCAATTTTGATGTTGCTTTTGGTGACTCTGCTTGCTCCTCTGGCCTAGTTGTTCGATGCGCAGACGGGCATTATCGTGTTAGTAGTTGGGGCCAAGCATTCTGAAGTTTATTACCCCTACCTAACAAAGTTACTTGCAACAAGGGATGTCATTTCATTTTTCATCACCAAGTCCTTTTCGTGGGTCATCAACGAAGGAGCATATGAAGTGGTTAGTCATCAGCTTCGTCAGGGAGTGACTTTGGATTCCCTCAGAGGGCATGTGCTTTAATTGCAAACGAGACTGCCCATAGAGTAGTCCGTAAAGTACTGTTATTGTCTCATCTTGAATTAGTTTCCTTTATCTTTGTAAGCTGGTATTTAGGAATGGTAATGGGGCAGGTCCGGGACGGGTTTCTTGGTACCCAGACCCGCTGATGACTTGATATATACACATGTTTTTATCCACCATTCTTATGTCGTTTGAGACCCATTTCTCGTATCTTAGGCCGATTTCACGCTAGGTTGTTCTCGTTTGTGTTATATCAGGTCCTAGTACTTGATTGGAGGTTTGGGAGCGAGTTTTGGGCCGATTGGACGAAAGTTGGATGTCTAGCGAGAAGCTGAGGAATCCACACGGCCAGACCTAGCAGCCACACGGCCGCGTGGAATCCTATTACGCGGGCAAGGCCACACTGGCCATGTATTGGGCCCCCTGTGGCCGTGTGGAAATTCCAGGAAGCTCACAAGGGCAAGCCAGTTTTCCACACGACCGTGCAGCTTTGTCCGTGTAGCAATCGTGGAGGCACTTAATTGGAACGTTGCGTTTTGGCACTTACACGGGCAAGGTGGGGAATCCACACGGCCGTGTGGTCGGAAAATTCTGGGTTTTAACCCAATTTCGAGCCAAAGGAGAGAAAATCGATTTTCTAGAAGAAAAACAAAGTCCTAGAGAGAGAAAGTGCGAAGAACACCCCCTAAGAGTGGTTTTGGAGCTGGGTTTCATCAATCAAGCTTGGAAATCATCCTTGTTTGCTATTTTCCTATCTCTCTCTCTCTCTCTCTCTCTCTCAATTGAGTAGAACCCTCTCTCACTTGGCTATGAAGAACCCTAGTTCTATGTGTTAGGGATCATTGTTGTAACGACGTATAGATTGTGATATTGTTTGATTATAATCGATTGAAGTGTTTTGATTGAGTCAATTGAAGTCTGATAATATTTTATTGATTTTTGCTGCAACCTGAAATAGGTAGAATATGATTAGGTTGTTAGAGCTTCTTCAACCGGTAGTAGTGAATCGATTATACGAGAGTTAGTCGATTTACTGCTTTGTACTGGAATTGAGTTCCAGTAGTGGAGTTCTGTGTTCATAGCCTCAGCTTTCTATCCCGGTGAAGACTAGTCGTCTGCCGGGTAGTTTGACTGAGAGGGCTTGGTCAGCTTAAGAGATTCCAAGCTACTGTCGGATCTTCCGCAATATAATCAACAGTAAGGCAATCGAAAGTTATTACAATTGTGACCTAACTAAGGAGCTAGGGGGACTCATTCTCGAGTGACTCTTCCCCTTGCTTTAGAAAACCAAACAGTTTCCTTCTTTCTTACTGCTTTTAGTTAAAACCACAATCACTCGACTTAGTTTGCTAGCTAATAAATAGTCACGGAGTAGGCAGTAGATCTAGGCCCGGGTTGACAAATAGAGTTTGCCACTTACTGCATTTCCAGATTGCAATTACGCTTGGTCACAGTTTGGTGTTGTGTTTTAGCGTGTCACCCGCCCCGTGGCAGGTAGGGTAATTTATCACGGGTTGCAGGTCGGGGCAAGTCGACCCAATGGGTATGCAATTTATATGAAAACATTAGAAATATTAAATATTTTTATTATAAGACCAAGAAAACAAACAATATTATGATAAATGTAGTTAAATTATTAGAGAAATTGAGGTTTTCACTAATTTACAACTTTATTATTGCTAAATTATGATGTAATAAAAGAAAAATCATTAATAATTTGACTAAGATTACATGTAATTTATTCAAGAACGTGTCGAGAATGGGGCGGGTCAGGGCATGTCGTGTCGATGAGGTGTTGCTTTGAAAGGGTTCTTGGGTAAACTGTATTATAGTTCTTGCTATCTATTGTAATTACTTATAAAAAAAGTAGTTATTATTTATTAGTAAAAACTTAAAAATCAATTAGGAATAGTGTGGCTATATTTTGGGAATTATGCAACATTAGAATTAGAATAGAATTTTTTTTCTTTCTTAATTCTCGATTCTCATTCTCACTTTAGATAAAATGAACCTCGTAACATAGAGAGATTAATTTGGTCTTTGATTTAGTTCAGCTCGCATAGTAGATTAAAACCTATATCCAACTGAACGATGATCTCGTCTACCCTCCTCTACAACATCATCGAATGATCACAATGCATAAACATAAAGCTGCGAGATTTTCGGACATAAAATGTATGGCGAGAGCGTATGAATGATATTAAAATGCATAAAATGTAAAAAGTATAAGATGTTTGAGTTTGAAGAGGTTCTTGTTACAGGTTGTTTATAATATAGTTGGTAGGAACTTTCAAAAAAAAAAATAGTTGGTAGGGAAGCAGTGAATTGATTTCAGGGTACATATATAATATGAATCGAAGGCAAAATAAACATTAATTCTTGTAGCCATATCAAACTTGTCGTTCGATCATGATAATGTCGCTCTAATAGGCAATAGTGAACTGCTTGATGCTGCAAATCAAAATTCAAGAATGAAGTCAAAATGATAAGTGGTGCAAAAAATGGCATAATGAAGAAGAAATTCCAAGTCGATATTAACAGGTGATTCCACTTACTTGTCACATTTGAGGTTCTTAGAGAGGGGAAAGGGAACAGTAACATTGCATAGCCCAGGAATTTTCTTCAAATCCTCGTCTTTGATGGTAGGGAACTTCTGAAAAGCAGTAGCCAAGCATTTGCAGGCGGCGGTCTTGTCGTCGACCGTGGTTGCGCTATCGGCGAGGTTGTGTAGGCCGTTGCAGCAGGTCTGTGGAACTTTGTCCTGACCTCCTTGAGCGAACTGCAGGCATGGCATGGCATCGATTTCCACCGTGCTACATTGGACAGCCTTTGGCGTTGGCTGTCTGCTCTCTGCAACACAAATGAAGAGGACGGCGGAGATTCCAAATATGATGACAATGTTTGAGATGATCGCCTTCTTCATCATCATCATGTTATTGTTTTGATGTTAATTTGCTAGCAATATATATGTATGGGTTTTGAGGAAGAGAAGTTGTTTTTGTGAGTTTGATGGAGAATGAAAGAAGGGGATGGGGCTTATATATCCTACAAGTTTTGTCTTCCGTATATATCAACACATTTTAAGTAAAGAGCATTGCGTTAAGGTTCAGGATTACGTAAATGAGAACAAAAAATAGTTCCAATGCGGAAGAGTTTGAGAGATTAGTCCACGTGATAATAATGTGAAAGGTGGGCAACTTGTTCATGTACTATCAATCTAACTCTTGTATGCATAAAAATAAAATTTCCACAAAAAATAAATGGCCTTTTTATAAGGGTTAGTAATTATGGCAGAAGTTAGGGTTCTAATATTTTTTTATGGTATAATGATAATATTAATTAAAACTTATAGAAATAATTCATGTTGATAACTTTTTTATTTAAATCGGTTGACCATAATTATAAAGAATGGGACATGCGCTTCTCATTATAAAAAATTAGGGGCATATGCGTGTAGACCTATTTATAAATTTTAAAAATTTTAAGTATCAAAATATATGTGATAAAAAATTTGAACTAAATGTATATTTTCATCGACATTTTTAGGACTTAGGACTTATATGAAAAAAATTATTTTAGATACTTAATCTTAAATTTAGGTACAAAACTGCAATTTGCATATAGAACCACAAGCTTTCTAAGGCATCCAAGTTCTCTAAAGCATATCTGAAACTTCATAAATCAGACTACATATTAAAACATACAACATGTTTATTAAAGCAGACCACAAGTTCCCGTAAGCCTACACTAAAAAAAGCTTAATTTTACCGGCGGAAACATTTGTAGCAGAAGGTATAAATTTCTTCGGTAAAGTGTTATGCGACGAAACTAATGTTGCCAAACTATTTCTAATGTGTCTTGTATTCTGGGTCGCCTAAATTTTTTGCTACAAAAATTAATGACTACTTCGCCAAAGGTGGAGTGCGCCACCAAAACATTGATGCTTTCGCGAAGAGGTGCAGCGTCGACAAACAAGGTTATATATGTGAGCCAAACTTTGTGATCGCAATAAATGAACGTTTACAGTTGATTCCACGATGACTTTTGGCGACGACCTTGCAATACATGACATACAACGACGAAAAGTGGTAGTGGAACATTTGCAATGGATATTGTTCGTCGCAGAAGGTGGTTCCAGCGACAAATGTTCTTTTTTTTTTATATTGAATGGTTCTTTCTTCTTTTGATTTATATATGAAATTGTACCAAAATAGAACAACGTTTTACAAAAATAAAATCGAGGACATTCACAATAGAAAAGCGGGAATTTTTCAGAAATACCACCAAAAATACTCCACATTTCCGATTTTTTTTTCAAAAATATCACTTTTTCCATTAACCGCCAATCCACCAAGCGGTTTAAACGAAAATCGTTGGGGATCGTGGTTTAAACAAAAACTGCGTCGGGTCGGGGCGGTTTGATTTACCGCGGGCGGTATCGACGGCTAACATGCAGACCACCGCCCCCTTGGTGTTTGTGTGAAATTTTGTTTTGATTAATGTCTAACCTAGGCCGAAACTTCAAACGAACGTAACTTTTATTTGGGTATCAGATCGTAGCGAAATGTTTTTTATCTTCATAACCTTTTTAAGGACTACAACTTTTATCATAGCCAGAATTTTCGGAATGTACCTGAATTGTTGAAAAGTAAAGGTAAAGTTATTCCCAAGACCCCGTATATCCAAAAATAATTGTTGTTTATATAAATCTCTTTCAAGTAAAAGTTGTAGTCCCTGAAAAATCACTATGAGGTTTGGGGATGACAAAAGTTGTCCCCTTAAATAGCAAAAATCGTCCCTATAATTTTTGGGGACAACTTAGTCGTCCTCAATATGTGATTCTCTATACTCTTGTTCTCTATTCTTTTGGGGATGACAAAAAAATAAGTCGTCCCATATACTCACGAGTCGTCATCTCATTACTATTCCATAAAAGACAACAAGTCATCCCTAGAACCATGATTTCAGTGACAATAATTTGTCCCCTTTCCTTTTTATTGGATCCAGATGTCATCCTTACTGGTGTCAAATCGAGATCTAACAAATCGTCCATAAAAGTTTTATTTAAGAACAATGAGTGGTCTCTTATCCTATATCTTTGGAGACAACAGTTGTCATGTTTATAAGTTTTAAAGATGAATAGTTGTCCCTTAAGTTATAACTTGGTTGGTGGAGAACGGCTACGGTGCTAATTGTACAATAGTTAGCACCGTCCTAACCAAGGGAAAAACTACTATTAGTTTGAATTAGTAGTGATTTAGCTTAGATGTTGTATTGATTTTATAATAATCCGTAGTGATTTTTGCTAGTTATCACGGTGCTAACCCCTATAAGGGTTAGCACCTAATCCCATCCCTGGTTAGTGACCTAAAAAGGTAAAAGCATAAGCTTTTAAGTTTTAAAGCGCGATTTTGACTGCATTGATATGAACAAACATACAACGGTTAAAATTTTGATGATGTTATTTACAAATAGAAATAGAACCATCATGACACAAAAATCACTGCCACAAACATGTTGTTGCATTGTTTTGTCATTCTGCATCGCCGCCGCTTCATCTAAACACCGCCAATACCCACCACAAATAACACTCCAACGTAACGTAACCCATGCAATGTCGGGAAATCATCACTGACTTCTTCATAATCGTCGAGTCTACAACAGAAATCAAAAGAGATAATATCGAAGAAGGATGGATCTAAGACTAAAAGTAATACTGAATTAAACACCGAAAACCGAAAAAAGTAACCACCAATCTAAATCCTACCATTGTTGGACGACCCTACTGAAAGAGGATAGGGAAGCGCCACACTGCCAGTGGAAAAAGGATAGAAGAGGCGAAGACAGGAATATTGAGCTAGGGTTTCTATTGTTACCTAAAGATGAATGGACGCTTGAGATTAAGATCTATGCAAATGAACCGTTGAGATGAATTGAAGAGTTTTAGATCTACTTTCTTACTTTGTTTTCCTTTTATTATTATTTGCAACTTATGCACTTCGTTAAGCTCTTGAAATGAGGCAACAACTATGGTACCGCCACTGCACCAGTGCCGCCATATATTAGCCGTGTGATAGACCACATTTAAATCCTGACCTTTGATTCTGACCCACCACTTAACCCGAATAGGTTGAATCAAGTACCTTTGGTTTACTCCTTTTCTAACCCAAGTTCGTTGTTATTATTATTATTATTATTATTATTATTATTATTATTATTATTTTTCATTACAATTATTTTTCTTCCCAAAACAAAAGGTCCCTCGAACAGTTTACCATCTTCTTCCTCCGATCGCCGGGGACAGGCCAACACCGGTCAACAAGCGCCTATCGAGTTTTGGACTGTTTCCTTGGGATTTGAAACAAATATCAAGTCAACTTTGTTCTATTTCTCCTACGATCTGACTGTATCTCGATATCATCATCCTCGTCGCCCTTGGAGTTTTTAGTGGGTGCGATGGCGGATCCCGCGCCGCGGCAGGGGTGATGATGGTGATTGTCCGGCGACAATGATGCTGGTACTGATTTGGATTAATGGTGGCCAGGATCTGTAAGAATTGGTTTGTTCTTAAAATGTTTGCTTTTAGTATATGGTCTCTGTACAATACATATATTAATATTGTCCACGAGTTTACCTTGCTCTTAAAATTATAAGAATAGAAAGGAAATATGAGGAAGTATAATGGCGGTCAATGTGTACTGTGCATTATTAGGCAAGATTATGAATGTATTACTGTAGGGAACTAATTCAGGATCTTGGTGGTGATGGCGGCCGGCCAACGACAACGGCGGTGATACTGGCGCTGATATGGATGCACGGAAGAGCCGGGTTTCTCAAAGAGGAAAGAGAAATAGAAGAAAGAAGCAGGAAAGAGGAATTATGTTTAGGGTTTATTTAGTTACTAGCTTATAATCCGACACGTTGGCCGGAATGTTCATATTTTAATATTTATAGTTTTATGTTATGTTTCAGTCTATTAATTTGTTTAAGTTTATTGAAAATCATTCAATCGAGATTCTACATAAAGAATGAATATACAGGTCGAACATTCAGGAAAATACCCTCCTCATTTAAGAATATAAAAATGTATCATTAATCCCATTTTCATAATGATAATTGAGCCCCATTAAAATGATATTGGTTAATAGATTGTCTAGAAATATAATAATATATAAGCTCATTGGGATTCCCACACGATCCATAGATAGTTTGAAACTGAAATAAAACCTCACAATCCCACATAAATTGTTTAAAGCTCTCCCCTATGAATAACATGTCACTAATAAAAAAGAAATGGATTTATAAAAATAAACAAAAATGAAGAGTTGTTGATTCAAGTAAATCATATGCTAACAACTCAACTAAAAGGAGACCATCAATACTTGAAAGCAAATGACAAAATTAGAGTTACATCCAATATACTAATAGACTGGATCAAAGTAATAAGGCACAAAATTAGACACTCCTTGTCTACAAGTTCCAGTAGTTTGAATAGTGAATCGACCTTAACTTTAGTAAATCAATCAATGATTCCTCGTTTTAACATAAACATAGGCTGTGGTAGTTGCAACAACCATAACACTTAAAGATCCAATAGTTTCCACTCTTCGTTGTACAACCAACTTTTTATCCCCTCCATCTTCAATCTCTCGACGTATATGTTTCAAACCAAAATTCAATTTCTAATTCTCCTTCTGCAACTCCATTTATGCTACTTTGATGGACCTTCTCTCCATGAACCTGAATTTCTCTTTCAATTGGTTTCTTGTCAGCTTGATTTCCAACTCTTCAATCCTCTTTCTTGTATTTGGCCAACTCATCTTCCTCGGGGTAGTTTTAATAAGCTCGTACAACCAACACTCATCTTCAATTCCATCAATATGCTCTTCTCCTCCTCCGCTGCCTTCACCTTATCCAGTTCACTTCCATGCCCTTCAATACCCTCTCCATTTTCATTAATATCCTGATCATCTACTACTTCTCTCTCTTCAACTGCTCCGATTTTGCTTCT